AGGAAACAATTCGAAGATCACACAGCAATGGAGCAGAGATGCAGAGAGATTAGAAAAGATATGATAAAATAAAAACATTGTAAACTGATAAAAAAAACTTGATGTCAGTAAAATATGATCTAAAAGAGAAGCCACCTGTAAATGTTTTTCTTTAGTGTCGATTTAAAAGAGGAAATAAAGACTTTTTAGGGAGATAGCATCACGTTAGATACACTTAATGAGTGAACTGTTCTATATATTTACGGTAGATTATTTCCACAGGACACGTTCGAAGTCGGAGCGTTGATTTGAAATGAAATCAGCTGATCATGTGCACGGGGGCGGATTCAAATACGGGTGGAAGCCATCTTGATCCGGCTGGTTGACGTGAGTTTTTCGTAGTCGGCTCTAAATTGATGCCACTTTCCGAACAGCTCTTGTTGACTCCGCCGAAGGTAAATCTGAATTATTTCAGTCAGCGCGGGGCTTGACGCTCCTTTAGCCGAGGCTACTTTCACAATTAACGGCAGCTATCGGTGGGATTTCACCGTCGTTAGCCAGCTTGCTAGCATGCTAGCAGACCTAGCACGACAGCAGGGTAACCGATGTTAATTGGTGGTTTGGTATTGACTCTTATTTAAAAGTGAACCTTGAAAGTGTTAAAACTTTGCCGGCGGCGGTGCAACTTAACAACACACGCGGGTTTAAATGCACTGAATCGTGTGTCGCACCGTCGATTGAAGGAACTGCGATTTAGCACGATGCTAAAGCTAGCATCGTATGCTAGCCAGTCAGATGTCGGCGTCTAGCAGAGAGGTAGCTTAGCGCTAGTTGTCCTCTAGTAATTCGGGTTAAATTGACAAAGTCCCCCCTTGTTAGCTTCACATTCAGGTGTCTGTGCTTTCAACTCTAAAACTAAAGATGGTTGCTCAGCGGACGGTGGATGTGCTGCGAGACCCCATGTATCTGCGCTGTTTGCACATTGTTAGCAAAGGTTAAGCTAAACGCTATCTCCGTACTTAGGCCAGTCTTAACCGCAGGGCAGCTAAATGTTGACCCGACAGGTGTCACTACCCTCCGTTCACAAGTGTTGCCTTCTCCCCATTCGGTTTGATTGCGTATCTGTGTCTCTTCTTCCTCTCATACGAGTTTTCTAACTGTCACCCTCTTTCTGTTTCAGGGTTGGTAAAAGCGGAGTAAGGACGCGGCGGCTCGGTGAAGCTAATCGGATGGCTAGCTGAGCAGTCGGCTAATGTTTGAAAGATAGTTGAGTCCTCCTGGTGTTTCCCATCGATGCTAAACTCTCATTTTCTAAAGGAATCCATGCCCAGGGGTCCTCTAAACATTTGGACAGAGGATTGAGTTTTTGACTCACGGTGACAGAAAAACAAACATTATTGAAGAACCTGCTGAGACTGAAGATTTGGACACTTTAACGGTACAGATAGGAAGTCTCCAGAGGGAAGGGCGATCTTTGAGTATTTGTGGGGTCCCAGTGGAGTGGACTCACCATCCAGAGACAGCTGAAGAGGTTTCATTGCTATTGGAGCAGAAAACACTAAACATGAGCACGGCCAGGACGGAGAACCCGGTGATTCTGGGCTTGTCTAACCAGAACGGGCAGCTCAGAGGCTCGGTGAAACCTGCCGGAGCTCCAGGTGGAGGAGGCCCCCAGCAGCAGCAGCAGCAGCAGCAGCTAAACCAGGTGAAAGGCACAATCAACAATGGTAACTCCCAGCCAGCCCCGACAACAAACGCTGTCATCAAGTAAGTTATATGATACTGGACGTCCATGATTATGTTTTCAATACTTTTCTGCATTTTGTTTATGAGAACCTCTCCCCCCATCACCACAGGCCTGGAGATGACTGGAAGAAAAATTTGAAACTGCCCCCAAAAGACACAAGGATGAAAACTTCGGTGGGTACAAGACACATTTCCTGTTGTTGGAAGTTGAAATTGCAGATGCCTGTTTACTTGTGGGTTTGATAGCACCGCTCACAATGAGCTGTGATTCTGCAAATCTCACAGCCATGCTGATAAATCTTTTCAACATACTGTTATCATAACCAATGGGTTATGCCTTTTGTATATTTATTTTGCAAAGAATCTGTGGCAATATATATGCATCAAGTATTCTCTTGAAACAAATTGTTTCCAGAAGGCTATATCATGATTATGGGGGCTTGAGTATAGGTGTGTGATCATTAGCAAATACTGGCAGTACAACAAGAACAGAACCACTGCTGTTTTTCATTCACTACTAATAAAAATAATAAATAATTTTCAAAAAACATTGTCACCTTCATCTGAATTTTGCTAAGATTTGTGTCATCATTGCTTTGAGAAACGGGCTACTCTTATATCCAATTTGGATGTTTTTGTTTTCAGAAAAGTGATATCTCCATATTCAATGTGAAGCTGGTGACTTTTTATTGTGGATTTGTTTGGAAAAAAAAGCCTTTACAGTGGAATTGTGGACACTTTAAAATAGCTTTCTCCCCTTTCATTTTACAGGCTAGTTATCCATTTACATCCTATGAACCAAATGTTGATTAATACACCTCTTTTCCTGATTTACAGGATGTGACTGCAACAAAAGGTAACGAATTTGAAGACTATTGCCTCAAGAGGGAGCTGCTCATGGGAATCTTTGAGATGGGCTGGGAAAAGCCATCTCCAATTCAGGTAGACCCAGACACTACTCTGATTTTATCCCCTCTGATAGCTCAATGATTATTAACTAATTAATCAAAGTTTGTTAAAGATGTAAACATTATACCTGCTGAAGATTGCATCATTGAACATTTTTCACACGCTAACATTAGCTTCAAGCTGATGGTCGTGAGAAATTCTTTCATCCTGTCACTCCACATTGTATTCTCTTCATCCTACGACATACTCTGTTAGGGCAGACATAATGTGTAGTTGCCAAAGAATGTACTGACTGTATTCTCTCATATAAAGGTGTTGTGTATTAATGTTAGAACTATTTTTTGTAGGAGGAAAGCATTCCCATTGCACTGTCAGGAAGGGATATTTTGGCCAGAGCCAAGAATGGCACAGGGAAGAGTGGAGCCTACCTCATTCCCTTACTTGAACGCATTGACCTGAAGAGGGACTGCATACAAGGTAGATTTTCTCACACAGTTTACTCACTGTAAATGTCAGAAAGATTCATCTCGCTGAATTTCAATCAGTCTTTCTAAGATAATGGAATGGAGCAAAAGTAACAGTGAAAATAAAATGATCATAACTAGCTGCTAGTCATCAGTCATGCTGGTATTTGGTACAATATCGTAGCTGACACTTGGTTTATAATTTGATTCAATAGACATAAAATTGTAATCTTGAGAAAATGATTCTTGTCTCTAAAATGTCAGTATTTGCTCTTTTATTTGGTTTCTCTTATAGCAGACTGAACTGAGCTTTAAAATGGACTATGATTGTTAGTAGTTCAAGTAGTTGTTAGTTGTAGAACTGTGTATGATTAAATGAACAAAAATGATCTTGCACTGTTTGTAAATCACCTTTCTGTTTGTACTGCATGTAGTACCTAATTCAAAACTAATCAAAGAGTAGAATTGCATTTGGATCTTCAGTTTAGATTTGACATCCCAATTTTTGTGTCTAGATTGGTTTTAATGGTTTGGAACAGGTTTATTTATGTGGTGAAAATAAGAATAATAATGTTTAATAAATGTGTATCTCGTTTTTCCAGCTGTGGTCATAGTGCCCACCAGAGAACTGGCTCTTCAAGTCAGCCAAATATGTATCCAGGTCAGCAAACGTATGGGTGGAGTAAAGGTGATGGCAACCACAGGTGGAACCAACTTGCGCGACGACATTTTGAGACTCGATGAAACAGGTAAACATAATGATTTACATAAACAGAGTTTGCCTAACTTTGAGATATGTGATTATTGTCTTTGTTCATTTCTACATTGAATATTGATTATAGACAAATATTACACTGAATGTGTCTGCGTTTCTTTATTGGTATATGATATTCAGTGCCAGTCTCTTCTCCTCAAGTTTTTTTTCTCTCTGTGATGTGGGCACAGGATTAAGGTCATACACATA